TGGCCAGTAGCCCAAAATTGTACAAAAGAAATTATAAAGTACACATACACATAGACACACCACACCTATATTGTTTGTTCCCAAGTGTTATTCAACAAAAGAGACAAAAAATACTATGAAAACCACCCAATGGAGAAACTTGTTTCAAAGTCACTGAGGCTGTATTCTATAAATTATTTCCTTGGATAAATTTCCTTCCTCCAAGAGCTAAGTTATTTTTAAATACAAAACCTTTTATAGGAATCACACACATCCTACAGAAAAATATTCCAATGTTTCAAAAATCAGTGCCTCCTCCCCCTAAAATACCTCATTCACAGATAGATTTTTAAGATTTGAACTGCAGAGACACCTGTTACGGTGTCTAGTCTTCAAGCTCGGTGCTCTAAGAACTGCACTTGTCATGGGTCCTTGCAACCGTATTTGGGACATGTGATTCCACGCACCCTACTACCAGCCTCAACCAAAGCTGATGAGTCCCCTGAGCCAAGGCAAGACCATCCTACTCTCTCCCAGAGAAGAAAACACAGAGTTTAGAATGTTGGTCAAATATCTGTTGATCTCAAATTGAGGCTGAGGACTTTCTGGTTCGTAGTTCTGGTTCGTAGTCCAGTCTTCTGTGAACCATGACTGCATTTCCTGCACTTGGGTCCTCTGAGAGATCCTGATCTTCGAAACACATTATCCAATTTTTGCTTAAAGTCGTTTGCAACCATGAAAAGCTCCACTAAGTAATGGATATTCCCGACATCACATGAGAAGGGTGGGCCAAAACTGTTATTACTAAACAGCAAAGGAACAAACCCACCATCCTGCAACACATTTTCTTTTATTCAGACTTATTGCTGTTTCATCACTTCTCTGCATTGTTTCCAGGGGCAGGACTGATCCCCCAGAACCCCATCGTCCAAAACTACTCTATTCCGGGATCCTCACAACCAACCTTATTAGCAAATACTTTTCCCTGGCAATAACCGTAGGAAAACATTAGCACAGCCCTCCATTTTCTTCCTCAAATGTACTTAGCTACCCACTTCAGTGTTAGGGTTTTGTCTTTTTTCTTTTTTAGGCTCTAGAATTAATCAACTAGGAACTACAGGATCTTACAATTCAAAAGTATAAGTGAATGTTAAGCTCCAGGAGGCAGGGATTATGCCCGTTCGCCTCTGTACCCCCAAGCCCGGCACAGTACCCCCTACACTGAGTGAGCACTTGCCAAATAAATGAGAGGATGAAAAGTAGGAGCATCACAGGCAAAAACACAGACTCTGAAGTCAGACAGAATTGACTTAGAATCCTAAATCTTCCCCTTACAGCCTTATAACACTTATAAAGGCTTAGATCTGCTAAGAATTTTATGTACATTTTATTATTTAATGCTCCCTCCCTGAAAAGCTCTAAGGTATTATTATCCCTCTTTACACTTGGTAAAAATTGAGCAACTTACTTAAAGCTGCAAGGTCAGTAACCCCCACCTTAAGCCCCAAACTCAAATGTATTTTTTTTAAATTGAACTTATTGGGGTGACATTATATAGCTTTCAGGTGTACAATTCTATAACACATCATCTGTATATTGTATTGCGCATTCACCACCCCAAGTCAAGTCTTCTTCCATCACCGTTTATTCCCCCGGTACCCTCCTCCACATGCCCTCCACGCCCCGCTTCCCCTCTGATAATCACCGTACTCTTATCTGGGTCAATGGGTTTTTTCCTAACTTTTACAATACACTGCTTCTTACCACTGACTTTGTGACCTTGGGCAAATGATTTAATCACTCAATTTGCTGAAGATTGTAGTTCTGAAGACTAAGTCAGACAGACAGCGTTTGTAAAGTGCTTATTAGCACAGTGCCAGACAGAGCAAACTGCCCATTAAAAGGTAGTTATTATTATTAGTTACTCACTAGTGAGCCTACAGTGAGATGCTTCAAGCAGGACATTCAGTTCCATAAATTATACGTTCTGTGGAAAGCAGCCATTTTCTAGGCAGCCAAAGCAAAAGCAGCAAATTATAACCAATATTTATTTTGGATATGGTCTCAATTCTCCAAAAGGAAGTAACAGATAAATCTTGATAGCCTGAAAGCAATGATCATGCTTGAAGTTAGGGGGCGCCATATTGCTGTACTACATTATGGAAACCACTTTCCCAGAGAGTATTCAGCACCCTAGGACTTTTCTCCAACCAAGTAGATAAATTTTGGCCAGTAATAACTTTTTTCGCACTTATTACTGCCTAAGGGAAGAGGAATCCTTTAATGTTTCTTTCCATACTCTTCCACAATTTGTTTCAATTCCAGTATCTATTCCTATTTTATTTCCAATGCCTTTGCTATTGCTTCATTGAGGTAGAAGGCATTATTACATCATTCAATGACTTTTAAAAATCCAGGGGGAAAAAGCATTTAATAAGGATCAATACACTAATAAGCACAACCCCAAGAAATGTAAAGTGCCTGAAAACCAAATGGTCTAAAATAGATGTGTATGCATCGGCTGATGTTGAAGATGGGTGATGGGCGCTCATTCTACTAGCCTCTCTAAATCCATGTATGCTTAAATTCTCCATAATAAAAGCTTCCAAATCAATATTTAAAATAAACTCATATGTTCTGCTTTTTTAAAAATTCATTTTTCCTGAAAACCCGCTTGATGGATGCAGCAGAAAACTGGGTCTATATCACTACTCTGAGAAGCAGCACAGAGTAAAGTACTCAGTTGAAGGAAGAGGAGTAAATAAGGTTAAATTAAGGTGAAACGAATATAGATCATGTAGAAATGGAATGTGTTTCTGCAATGCTTTAACAATGAACTTCAAACGAGGGACCCCAGGCCGTAGACTCTCCTAAGGAGACCTCTTTATACAAGCAAATCAAACTTTTAAAAATATTTTACTATAGTAATTGTTTGTTCAAGCCTTGTTTGCATTTGGTTCTAATGGGTTGGGAATATCCCAATCTCGAGGTGATTATTTTAAAGGGAAGGAATGAAAAGTTTTGTGCCAAAATAACCAAAGGAGAGCTGGAAAACTGGGTATGGACAGATGATGTGTCTTCAGTGGACAAAAGACGAGTTTCCTCTTTAATTCACAGTCATGTTCTGCTAAGTGAAAAGTTATCTGTTCTACTCAGAAGATAATCCATAATGGAAAATCATATCTATAGATCTTTTTTTCCTTCAGTCAGACATGCACAGTGCTTTTCATTCAATCTGTGGAGTTAAATTCTAGTTAGCCTAAACCACTACCACTGTTCTTAAGTCAAAGCTAAATAAAAATGCTTCACATTCAAATAGGTTAGTGACCTCTTTCTACCAATTAAGTTTTACTCTCTCAGAGCAAATTCTGTTCCTAGAATGCTGGGGAAGGGGTGGGAGACAGGGGGGAGATTCCTAATACCTAAGTTTAAAGAGAGATTTTAAAAACTGGTAAGAAGTCATCTGCTCTTTCCATTTGAAGCCACAAGCTCCTCTATAATCCTGAGGCTAGCCATTCCCTTCCCCTCCCCCATCCGCCCCCAGCCAGGCAAGGTGCAAAAATAAGACTAGTCAAGACAAACAGCTTTCTAATCCACCACCCAAATGATGGAAGAAAAATAAAGAAATACTAATGTCAATCTTCTACTGAGTCCAGCTAACTCTGAGTTTTCCCCAAATCAAAGTAGAAGTTAGAAAGCAGCATTTTCTTCTAAGATTTACTTTTTGTGTCCGATTATTAACGACGCTTTCAGGTATTCCATTCATGTCCTCCCACTTGAAAGGGGTACAGCAATCTGTCTCTCCTCTGCTCCATGCACCCACTCCAGAGCCTTCATTTCTACACATTTCCAGTCTTCACCACTTGCCCTATATTGAGCGATCCTCTCAGCTTATGGGACAAATGAGACTACAATGGTATTTTATCACAGGGTCAATCTTAAATTGAGAAATACAACCTATATGTTTAAAGAATGGTACATAGGTGAATGTTCACCTTCCTTCTCACGCTAGCATGCTTTGCCTCTCTGTGTTACATAAAGTAAAAGTTTTCTACAGTTCTGAGTGCCCCTTGACCAATCCACAATAAAAGAAATGAAAATCACAGAACTGCCACAGGACAACTGGCTGGCTTATCATTGCTAGTAAAGACTGAGTAGCTAGACTACCCCAAAATAATGTACATGGTTACTACACATTCCCACATTTCTGTCAATCTACCTGTAAATGTTTACAAGATAAATTTCTACCTAGGGAGCTACTTCCGGCTGTGAATAAAAACATGATTTCTTTCTAGGGGTACTTGACTATCCTCTCCTGATAACACAACTGGTGGTTTTGGGTAGATTTCCCCATCAGCTAAGTTAGGAAAGGGAAGGTGGTGGTGTAGGCTCAGCACCAGGAAAGAATTTTCACAATCAGGTAGACGATCTGAGTGTCCAGGATGCAACAAGCCAAGGGCACACTCAAAAGTGAAGAGCTTCACTCTTTCACAGGGCAAATTCTTCCCATACCTGCCAAACTCCACAAACCGAATGACACACTGCAAAATCACAACTGTTTCCAGAATTTTTTAAGAGTGGGTTTGTAGGAATCACTTTGAAATCAATGAAGGGCAATATTAGGTAACTTTGAAGTAGACATTTAAGGTCATGAGTTTACATGTATCTCGAATCGCACACAATGTTTCTAACAACCTGACCCTCATTTGGACCTTTGAGAACGTCCATGTCTTAAAATCAAACCAAAAAGCCAGTTTGTCCGGCTTGTACCAACCACTAGATCCATTATTTCAAAATTATCAGAAGGTCATTATAATTATAAACCTAAGTCCCTTAAATGTATTTTCCCCGTGGCTGGGGGAGTGGCGGGGAGAAGGGGGTGGGAACCAGACTGACTTTGTTCTTCTTGGTTAAAAACTAAAGTTCGCTTGTAGCCCTGAGAAGGCGACAGACAACGGACTCCAAATGTCTCTGGGTCCCTGCGGGCTGCAGAAGCGGCGGGGCGACCGCGCGCGTCCTACCTTGGACCTCTCCTTGACGTAGTAGTTGCCCAGCCGGCTCCCACAGTACAGGACCAGCCTGTCGATGAGGGACAAGAGAAAGCTGATGGCCTCGCAGCCCTCCTCGTTGCCCCCAATCCACGTGATCTGGTCACCCCGCAGGTGCCGCTTGGAGACGCCCGCGCGTGGCCCAGCCAGCTGGCCGTCCCGCAGTACTCCGTTGCTGTGCAGCTGCTTGACGCGCTCCAGGACGCAGTCGCCCACTACTTCGCCCAGGAAGTTGTCCAGGTAACAGAAGCCGACCTCGTGCAGACAGGGCACAATGTACTCCAGGGCAATTTTCTCCAGATCCAGCCTCATAATGTGTCCCAGGGGCATCTCGCCCGCAGAGACGAGCTCGGGGACCCCCAGCGTGCACTAAGAGGGAGAGACCTAGGAGCGCGCGCAGCTCCGACGCGGGTAGTTGTGGCCCTGAGTTCAGCTACCTGCGGCTGACCGGGTCCCCGAGCCAACACAGCGCCAGGGAGAGGGGAAACTTGCTCGCAACTCTGGGAAGGGGGACTCAGCTCAGGGACCAGCGAGAGTTGTGGGGAGCTCCACGACCAAGCACCAGACTGACCCTGTGAGAAGTGAGAGGGCCCCTTTTGGAGACGCAGAGCAACCAATGGTGCGGCGGCGGCCCCAGGCGGGGAAAGGCTGAGGTCCAGCGGGGCAGCCGGCCCACTTGGCGCGTCACGGGCCCCGCCCAGGCCCCGCCCCTGTACCGTCTCTGGGACCGCCCTTCCCCGCTCCCCCGCCCGTCACCCTTGCCGAAATCTACAGCAAACAGCCCTAGTTGTTTGTGACTAGCGGAGAGGCTAGTCAACAGACGGGTTTTTCAAAATGCGATGGATTTGCACACGTTTTGCATAAAATTGAAGAACAAACTTGAAAACATAACTCTCAGCTCTGAAAATATAAATGGAATTAACAGCACGTTTACTGCCTCATTCTGGCTTGTCACCTCACAGTCTTTTGAACAAAATAATAAACTCAGGAACAAATTATATGTATATTAAACAGTGATCACTTTTCTAGCTTTACTTAGTGCCTTTTCTTGTTTCCTTTTCCTCTGCTGTTTGACCCAGATCAGGAGGTTCAAGCCACTGAGAGACTGAGAGGAATCCAGTTTTTAACTAAAATTAACATTTTACTAACCCCTACTCTATTCAAGACCCTCTGTACCCAATGAAGGGGGATGTGCACAATGAAGAAATGCTGGGTCATATCTGACTGAACCCTGAAAATACAGTATATTACTTTGCTGGATGTTTTCATTGACTAATCTTTCAAATTTACTAAACTATGGTGTTCTGAAAGCCTGCTTTCAATATTAATCACAAGTTCATGTTAACAGCCAGTTTAGGTATGTCTCCCAAAAGACAGACTATATTCTCATCTCACTTTCCCACAAGAAGCTGCACTTACATGGTAAGGATAGACATCACTTAGAAGATTTTTTAGTTACCCAAAGGTAAGCTGAGTGCTTCATGGTTTTTTAATTTCCTAATGAATACCAGATATCAAAGTCAGGAAAAAAGATTCACAAATTGCATGCAAATCTATTTTCATATTTTTAATTTTACATTAATTTCATTCAGGCTCTGCATTTAAGTTGAACAGAAGAATGTACAGACAGGTATCATTTATTTTGTACACAATCCTCTACAGCTTTTTTTACTTTTATTCTCCTTCCAATAGTCCTCTTCTCTCTTCATCTGAAAGGAGGAATGGAATGAAGTCCAGGCCAAGAACGAAGAGTAGGATAGAAAAGGGATGCTGCTACTACTTAGTGGAAAGAAGCAGACAGAAAAAATGTTCAAGAGGAGCGGTCCATGGGAAACGCTGCTGAAATTTCTAGTTATATTGAGAAGAGCTTCTCTGCCAAGGCAAGTGATTAGTTGGCACTGTTGGTGTGACCTTTCAACAAGAGGTGCACCAGCTAGGGTCAAGCCTTGACTTGGCCAGCCCCGAGGAGCTGAGTTCCCTTTGCAGCTCTGTGATGCCCACATCCTTGGACCTCCACACTTAGCGGCTAGTAGGTGCCTAATAATGTGGGCCTGGGTAGGCTGTGGCTTTCGGTTTGTGCAGCTTTGGAGACTGTTGTAGACCTCAAAACTAGATATCCCTGCAGAAACCAGAATTTAAAAGGGGGGGAAATGGCCAATAAATCTTGGTAGATGGCTGAAAGTTTTCTAGCTGAAGTTTCTTTGTAGATGCACCTGACACACCTAGGGATTACTAGGAGAGACTTTACAGAGGATCAGAAATCTGTAGTAGCAGGTAGTGGAGGTATGTGTGTTACATGCCATTGAGACAGCTCTGACTCTGGCAACTCTATGGATTAGTGATGGTCACGATGTCCTATCCTCAACAGCCTGTGGGCTCAAGTGCTGATGAGTAAAATACAGAAAATTACATGTCCACCTCTCAGATTGAGCATGTTGACCCAAGACTCTAAATCCCAGAACCCCACATCCCACGGGTATATTTGGCTTACTATTCAAATAAGATTTCAATAAATTTAAAGTTCTAACTTGTCTAATTGTAATTAGAGCAGTAGTGTATAAGCACATTCTAGTGACTGATAGCCTTACACTGTTCAAGATTACTTTGGTTGCAAAGCATGGGCAGCTCAGAAGGGTATTTAATGCCTTATCACCATCCCTGCTTGGCAAACGCACCTATTAATCAATCAAGGGCCTCCAAATCACGTTGTGGCTGCAGTACTACACTTGGCTGAGGAGCTGGAGATGCCATGACTGGCAAAAAACATAGTTGTGATTACATGGAGGAATGCAGACAGGCTAGAGCCATGCACCAGCTCTGAGCCTAAGCATCAGAGTGGCAAACACCAAGCTAATTGCTAAAGTGCATTTATTTTAGTTATGTGCCCATTAATTTGTGTCATTGTAATAATGAATATTAAAATACTTTTCATATTAATTACTAAAACAAATTAATTTCCCTGTAATGTAATTATAAGAACATTCATTGTCTCCCGGTACACATCTGCAGGACAGATGCAGTCATTTTCAAGCATGTGGATGAGACAGGGTGTTGAATTTCTTTGACTTAGAATTTGAAATGAAAGCGATGCTCATAATCACCTAGACAATTTCATTTCCTTACAGATAAGGAAACCAGGGCCCAGAGGGGCTGGACATTGGGTAACTTTCTCAAAAAAGGTCTCTGATGAGTGAAAGAGGAAGCCTGGAATATTCTCTATTCTCAACTAGAACAAAGGCAGCACTCACTCTGGCATGTATGTATGATTTTTTATGATGTAAAATTTACAAAACATAAAATTTACCCTTATAAATTGAACAGTTCAATGGCACTTAGTATAGTCACCATGTTGTACAACCACTACCACTCTATATTTCCAAAACATGTTTACCACCTGAAAAGAAAACCCTCTTCCCATTAAGCAGTTATGCCCCGATTTCCCAGCCCTGATAACTGCCAATCTGCTTTCAGTATCATGGATTACCTATTCTAGATAGTCCCTATAAGTAGAATCATAGGATATGAAACTTTTTGTGTCTGGCTTCTTTCACTTATTAAAATGTTTCCCAGGTTCATCCATATTGTACCATGTATCAGTACTTTGTTCCCTTGTATGGCTGAATAATATTCCATTATATGGATAGACCACATTTGTTTATTCATTCATAAGCTAATGGACATTTGGTTGTTTCCACCTTTTGGTCATTGAGTACATGCTTTTCAGTTCTTTTGGGTATATACTTAGGCATGGAATTGCTGGGTCAAATGGTAATTCCGTGTCTAACTCCTTGAGGGCCTACCAAACTGTTTTCCAACGGGCTGTGTCATTTTACATTTCCACCAATGTTACAGAAGGGTTCCATCACATTCTTTTTATTTCTCATGAAAACTCTATATTTCTTCTGCCCCTTCAATGTCCTGCCATGCCAGAGGCCACCTCCCTTCTTTTTTGTGTTTTTGTCATGTCTTATCATCGAGAGGCTTATTGTTACACTGAAAGTCTTCGTTGTGGGCAAGGGCTCTTTTATTTATTAATTAATCAAACAAACACTTTGGTAACACTATATTCCAGGCACTGTGCTAAAAGTGTTACAAACATTAATTTGATTAATTCTTATAAAATCACCAAGAAATCGGCACTAGTGATATCCCCCCTTCGTGAAAATGATAAAAATGAAACATAGAAAGAGAGGCTAAGGCCAAGATCACACAGTGAGAGAGAAAAACAATGATGGATGAAATCTGAGAGATTCCAATGTAGTAACATCAGAGGAATAAATTATTTTGAACCATTTGCTTGGCATGACATGATTTTTGCCCTTACGTACTCTCTTTTTAATCCAAAATGTGTTTTTTGGGATGGTGGCCCATTCATCGTATCCAGGGAGCTTTTAGTGCTGCTTCCTTCTGAAGGGGCATCCTTCTGCAAGCCTGGCTTGTCCTCTTGTAAGCTAACAGAGGACAGTGGAGAAGCTAACACACAAAACTACCACTTGTGGAGGAGAGGGGCAAGATGGCCGAGGAGTCAATGGAAGTGACACTGACCTCATCCCAGGACCAATCTGGAATTACAACTAAACTGTGGAGAAAACACCCAGAACAAACAACTGAACAATAGCAAGAGAGAAGCCTTATAATCTCGGAGACAGAAGAATCATATTTAGCACAACCTGACTTGTAAGAAGTGCAGTGGAGATTCAAGAAGGTTGGCTGGGTGCCCACAGGAAGCAGCACCAGATATTTAAATGGACAGTAGGAACCCCCTGAGAAGAGTGGGGTCTAAACCATAAGTGGGGATCCCCAGCCTACAGCACCAGAGCCCAAAAAGTACACAGATAACAGCCAGCTGCGAAAAGTAGCAGGGATGCTTTCAGTGAGAGATGGGCAGCTGGAGATGCAAAGAGCCGTTTAAAGGGCCAACGCATAAAATTTTATTTGCAGCCACTTACCCTGGTCTCCAGCAAAGGCAGGGGTAGAATGGCCTAGAGATGCTTGAGGGGAAATTGGAGAAGGAGGCGCTGGGGAGAGAACTGAGGGAACAGCCAGTGGGATCCCGGTGCTGACTCATCCCTCATATAGCAGCAGCCATCTTACTCAGGCAGACCACTCCCCCCAGGAGGGACTCTGCCACACCCTGTGATGCCTCAGCCTGACTGCTGAGTGCAGAGTGACTAGATTAACAACTGAAGGATATAGCCACAGACAGTAGATTCCTGGAAGTCTCGAACAGACTGCCTAAAGTCAGACAGGGTCAACATCTGACATCATCAGATGCATACCCAGAAAGAAAAAACAGCAGTAAATACTAGAGGCTACCTAGATGAAATCCACTGTGGTCTTCTCCATGATTTCTGATATTTTCTTTACTACATAGCTTTTTAACGTTCATTTCAGGTCCATCAAGTTTGTGCCTAGTAAGTCACTTGATTTTATACTAATAGTTTATTTCTCTCCTTTCTTGTAATATATTAATCTCTTTGCAGCCTTATTAATACTAGTTCATTTGCTGTTGATAGTAGGATTGCAGGGGGGTTATTTTTGCAGATATAGTTTGTTTTCTGGGCTTTGTGGTTTTGTTTTGGCAGCACCTGCATAAAAACACACAATACATG